ATTTCCAGATCCACCCTGAACCCAAATTGCAACTGGGATATCAGTTTTCATTTCTCTAGTTTCAGAGTTCTTCAGTGGCTGGGTTCACAAAAGACATGTAAACTAGATATGGAATACATCTATTTTTCTCAGTTAGCACAATAACGTGGAACTGTTTGCCCCCCAAACAAGTTGCTCAACATACTAAGCTCCTCTGCCCAAGCTTGGCGTGTTGCACAAATCTTTTCCTGACTCGGTTAAGCGTGGTGTGTGACAACCACATCTAAGGTGCCACCCAATTGCAATTTTTAATGGAACTGAAGGGAAGAAATGAAAAGACACGGGCCGTAATCATATCAACGGCATTTTAATAATTGAATGTGCATTCAACGTAAATGAAATCAAATTGAGTTTCTCTCCTGGACCCAATACTTTGCCTTGGCCCCATTTGCTTTCTGGAGTGCAAATTCTGACAGATGGTCTGGGAAAAATAATGCGCCAATCCCTCCAAGTCAGTGTTTCTCAGCCAGGGCAACTTGACGATGGGTGGACATCAAGTCCCAAAATTCTGGGAGTTGATGCCCACCCCTCTTGAAGCCTGCTGGCTGGGGGATTCTGGGAGCTGAAGCCCACCCCTCTTGAAGCCTGCTGGCTGGAGGATTCTGGGAGCTGAAGCCCACCCCTCTTAAAGCCTGATGGATGGGGGATTCTGGGAGCTGAAGCCCACCCCTCTTGAAGCCTGCTGGATGGGGAATTCTGGGAGTTGAAGCTCACCACCCTTGAAGCCTGCTGGCTGGGGAAGACTAGGAGTTGAAGTCCACCTATCTTAAAGCAAGCTGGCTGGGGAATTCTTGGGGTTGATGCCCATCCCTATAGAAACCTGCTGATTGGGAGATTCTGGGAGTTGAAGACCACTCAACTTCAAATTGCCAAATGTGATCTATTCCTACTATTCTCTGGGCTTCTGTGGGCGTTCTCACAAAATGGCTAACATGCCACACCACCAGAAGATAAATTGTAAAACACAGATGCGATCACTCTCTCTAGCTTGCCCACAGTGCTCTTTATCAGGCATCTTAGCTAGGATGGGTTTTTTTTTCTGAACAGGTGGGAAGACCATGGGCTTCACCTGGCCACACACAGCCCAGAAATACTCTTGGGAATAAAGGTAATACGGAGCCAGATGCTTTTGTATTCAGCAGGCCAATGTCCCCTGTATTTTTTTAATTTAAAAAAAATAATTCAAAATTCAGCCTGGGTAATGAATCAGCCCACACCAAGGACGATCCTGCTAACCAGGTGGAGAATTATCATCTCAGATCTAAAATGAGGATTTGCATTCACAGAATGTCTCATCCATGCAGTTGGTAATTGCTCCCACCAGGGCCTTTATGTATCTCTCTGCAAATGTGGGGCTTTTCAGAAATAAAGGAGGACGTGCTTGCAAACTTGGATCGGGAAGATCCCCTACCAAAACATCAGAGTTTTTCCTGGCCCTTTTAACCACTGCCAAAGTTGTCAATGAGTTGTAACTCTTCGCTGTGACCCCGGGGGAGCTTGCTCAATATGTAGTGAGTCATTATATCACTCGGCTGGATTAAATCCCTTGTTTAATTAAACTTCAATGAAATTTAGCTCTGCCCTAACTGCACCCGTGCAGAACTCCTCCCAGGTTGCCTTTCGGGGTGCAGAATTCGGCAGGTCATTGAACTAAAAAGGAAAACCCACAGAGGAGCAAGAAATATGACTTTCAAACAAAAAAACTCTGTTCATTTCCTCCTTTTACCTTGGAGCTCTATCGGTGCTCTAGAACAGTGGTTCTCAATCTTTTTAATGCCGCAACCCCCAACCAGTCGTAAGTCAAGGACAACTCAACCGGTCATAAGTCGAGGACTACTCAACTGGTGCAGCACCGTTTGCAGAATGGGGCTTTTGGCGGGCTCAGCAGGGCAGAGGCAACCTGGACAATTCCTATTGGCTTTTGAAAGCCAATAGAAAGACTCTATTTAAGAGAGTCTATTCTATTGGCTTTCAAAAGCCAATAGAATAAAAGGGAGGAGCACAGCTAAGGAAAAGGGGGGAAAAAATGGCGGACTGCGTTCTTTGGCGACCCCCGTGAAATGGTCGTTCGACCCCAAATGGGGTCCCGACCCACAGGTGGAGAACCACTGCTCTAGAACAGTGATGGTGAAGTTTTTAGAGACCCAGTGCCCAAACTCCACCCCAAACGCACTTATTTATCGCCGGGTACCAGGTGGGCGTGGCCCACCGGGTGGGCATGGCTCTGGTCATGGCAGACTGGGTGGGTGTGGCCAAGGTGGGCGTGATCACCTCAATGTTGCTCGTGGGGAGGACGCCTTTGGGGGCCGAGCAGGGTTGGGGGAGATCCAGGGGGGTCTCTGGCAGGTGGGGCGGTGGGCAGGAGGCTCGTTCTGCGGGGTGAGGCGAGGCGAGGCGAGGCAGGGCAGGGGTGCCATTGTCACAGGGCAAGGCGAGGCGGGGGGGCAGCTGCTGCCTGACACCATCGGCCCCCGCACACAGAGGCCAGCGAGCACATGGGTTCTGGGATGCATCCAGCCACATGGGACCTCAGCAAGTTAACGGGTGGCTGGTTGAAGAGGGATGGTTGCCATCTCCGGGGCATGGCGCGCATGCCCACAGAGAGGGCTCCAAGTGCCGCCTCTGGCACGCGTGCCATAGTTCGCCACCACTGCTCTAGAATTCCCTTCTTTTGCTTCGTAGGACCACGATTGTTAATTCTGAAGTTTCCATATTCTGTTCAAGCTCCAGGCAGCCCTCAACTTACAACAGTTGGCTTAGTGACCATTCGAAGTTACAACAACACTGAAAAAAGTGAGTGAGGACCATATTTCACTCCTACAACCTTTGCAGCATCCCCCACGGTCGCGGGATCAAAATTCAGATGCTTCACAACCAGTTCATATTTATGACGGTCGCGGCGTCCTGGGCTCACGCGATTCCCTTTTGGGACTTTCTGACAAGGGAAGTCAATGGGGAAGCCGGATTCACTTAACAACTGCAGTGATTCACTCAATGCGAGGCTGTCAAACTGTCAGCTTGTGGGCCGGTTGCACCCACCGCAGCTCCGGCAATGCAAAAAAAGGCATGATACGTCGCAACACGTCACGTGACGCGGCGGGTTTTGACACCCATGACTTAACGAAGGGTGCAAGAAAAGCCGTAAAGTGGGGCAAAACTCACTTAGCAAATGTCTCACCTAGCCGCATACATTTTGGGTTCAGTTGTGGTTGTAAGTTGAGGACTAGGGGTGTTGCATGTGCAGGTGGGCCTCAAATTCTTTGCTCTCCTGTCAGAAGCACCGAAACGCTTCCGGGTTGAAAGGTTAGCTGGTGACATCCTTGTTGCCCTGGGGATGCCCAGCTGGGGGCTGCCGGGAAGGAGCTGGAGTGAAGGATGAAAGCTCAACCCTGCCCACGGCAGCTCTCGCACCTCGAACGTGGGCTTGCCAATCTCCTCTTGAGCCTTCCAACCAGTTGAGTCGCCGTGCTCCTTAGTCCTCAAGTTGCAACTACAACTGGGACCAGAATTTCCTTTGCAGCAGAGGTCCCCTCTGAACCAGAGGGACCGGTTCCATGGAGAGAGGTTTTTCCGTGGACTGGAGGGTGCGGCCTGCACCCCGTGGATGGGCCTTTGCTTCTTTGCACGGACCGGTTGTTGGCATGCCGCAGCCCGGTAACTGGCCCACGGACCAGGGGTTGGGGACCCCTGCTTTACAGAATCACAGGAGGAACCTTGGAGGTCTTCTAGTCCAACCCCAGCACAAGCAGGAGACCTTCTACTATTCTGGACAGTCTCTTCTTAAAAACTTCCAGTGTTGGAGCATTCACCACTTCTGAAGGCAGGTTGTTCCACTGGTTAATTGTTCTCACTGTCAGGAAGTTTGTCCTTAGTTCTAAGTTGCTTCTCTCCTTGATTAGTTTCCATCCGTTGTTTCTTGTCCTGCCTTCAGGTGCTTTGGAGAATAGCTTGGCTCCCTCTTCTTTGGGGCAGCCCCTGAGATATTGGAAGACTGCTATCATGTCCCCCCTCTTCATTAAACTAGACATCCCCAATTCCAGCAGCCGTTCCTTGTATGCTTTAGCCTCCAGTCCCCTGATCATCTTTGTTGCTCTTCTCTGCACTCTTTCCAGAGTCTCAACATCCTTTTTACATCGTGGTGACCAAAACTGGACGCAGTATTCCAAGTGTGGCCTCACCGAGGCATTGTAAAGTGGTATTAATACTTGATGTGATCTTGATTCTGTCCCTCTGTTAATGCAGCCTAGAATTACATTGGCTTTTTTGGCAGCTGCAGCACACTGCTGGCCCATATCTAAGTGATTGTCCACTAGGACTCCGAGGTCCCTCTCATAGTTGCTATTATGAGACAGCTAATCTGGACAGTACTTTGCAGGACCGAAGGACAAAAATCCCCTGCCCCAAAGAGCTTACAATCTGAAGGGCAAAGTTGGGAAAGGCGAGAAGCGGAACAGATCCCATGCAGCGGAAGGCAAAATAGCATTAATCAGAAAAGGAGAATCTTTTCTTTACTACAGTGCAATGTGTTACCAATGTACCTTAAATTCATGATTCTTAATTAATGTGCAATATTCCCAGTCTGAGGTCAGGAGGGCTGGAAGTACTGTAGTTTGGTCGGAGAGTAGAAGGAACACTATGGAAAGCACTGCGCAGAATCAAGGCTGTCCAAAGAAGGATGAAAAGCAAATTCTCGCTGTAAAAGGGACTTTCCTCCAATGCAAATAACAGAAGGGAAATAATTCACAGACTCACCTCCTTCCCCATGCCCAGAGACCACCGCATAGAGAGTGAATCCAAAGTGGGAGAAGATGTGAAACAACAAACTTACACACAAACCCCTATTTTCAAGGGGGGGGAAAGCCTCTGCAATTCCCCACAATCTTTGGCATCGTCACAAACCCCCCTGTCTCCCCACACACAAAATAACACTTCCAAAGAAACCTCAAAGAAAGTCTACTCACCTTCCATCGTGAGCTCTTCTGCAAGGACGCACAAATGGAGGGAATGAGAGAGAGAGAGAGAAGAAAATTAAGGTTAGAATAATTGATAATCCAGCAAAACAGGTGGGATATAATAATAAAGTTGGAAGGGATCTTGGAGGTCATCTAGTCCAACCCCCTACTCAACTGGTGCAGCACCGTTTGCAGAATGGGACTTTTGGCGGTCTCAGCAGGGCAGAGACAGCCTGGACAATTCCTATTGCCTTTTGAAAGCCAATAGAATTAGACTCTATTCAAGAGAGTCTATTCTATTGGCTTTCAAAAGCCAATAGAATAAAAGGGAGTAGCACAGCTAAGGAAAAGGGGGAAAAAATGGCGGACTGCGTTGTTTGGCGACCCCCGTGAAATGGTCGTTCGACCCCAAATGGGGTCCCGACCCACAGGTTGAGAACCACTGATATAAGGTATTCCTTGACTTACGACAGTTCATTTGGTGACCGTTCAAAGTTACAACAGCACTGAAATAAGTAACTTATTATTGTTTTTCACACTTCGAGCCACTGCAGAGTCCCCAGGGTCATGTGATCAAAATTCAGACGCTTGGCCACTGACTCGTACTTATGACGGTCGCAGTGTCCCGGAATCACACGATCCCCTTTTGCGACCTGCTGACAAGCAAAGTCAACGGGGGAAGCTGGATTCACTTAACAACCGTGTGACTAACTTATCAACGGCAGTGATTTACTTAACAACTGCGGCAAAACTCACTTAACAAATGTCTCACTTAGCAGTGGAAATGTTGGGCTCCACTGCCGTCGTAAGTTGAGGACTACTGCAGTTTAAGTGAATCTGGCTTACCCCGTCGCGTGACCCCGGGACACTGTGCAACCATCATAAATACAAGTCAGTTGCCAAGCATGGAGATGCTGTAACAGTCGTAAGTGTGAGGACCAGCGCTCAGCACCATTATAACTTCAAATGGTCACTAAACCAATGGTTGTAAGTTGGGGACTAGCCGTGCAAATACCGTCTGGTTTCCTTTCCACCAGTTTAAACATGAGCCGTTAGAACCCCTTTCCCAGGCAAAGCCTCATTAGGAAATGAGTTGATTTGCTCTGATTTAACTTTATTTATGGCATTTTGCTACCACTTCAGCACAGCCCCTTGGGGGAGGATGGATCAGGCAGCATCAAAAGCACTGCAGCTTTTCCCATTCAAATGTGTCTGCACTCAGAGAATTCCGGCAGCTTAATTTAATTTCCACTTGTTATAACCATTGGCCTGCCCATTAAAAAAGAAAAAAGAAAAAAAAAGAGAGAGAAAATACTGGTTTCCCAACACTTTGAACCCAAAGGGTTCCTGAGCACGTGCAGAGACTGTCTTTCATTTTGGTTCGCTCTCATGGACTAAAGCAGTGGTTCTCAACCTGTGGGTCGGGACCCCATTTGGGGTCGAACGACCATTTCATGGGGGTCACCAAACAAGGCTGTCCGCCATTTTTTCCCCTTTTGTTTGGCCACGCCCCTGGCACCCGGTGATGTATAAGTGGTTGGGGGTCACCACAACATGGGGAACTGTATTATGGGGTCGCAGCATAGAAAGGTTGAGAACCACTGGACTAAAGCATCCGTCTGATTGATCCACTCATATTTCTGGTGAATATTATGAGTATGTTGCATTAAGCTGAGGGCTGGATTGGATGGCCTCCAAGGTCTCCAATTTTATACGGAAACCATCTTCAGTGCATTGGCCCAACACCGTCCTTCTTCATTCATTCATTTGGCATTGTTTATACCGCTTTCCATGTATCCATTTCTAAGCAGTTATGCAAATATCCGGCACAATACTTACAGAAATAAAACACTAAACTGAGAATAAATAAAAACTCTGATTGGTCTGATTTTTTTCCCTAAAGCTCCAGTTTCTGCAATCCAACTTGTGCGTGATTTATGCACATTTCTGAAATGCCATTATGTAGGGCAGTTAAACAATCTGTGGAGGGAGGAAAGGAAGGAAAAGACCGGAAGGGAGGGAGGGAAGAAGGGTATTTGGAGAGAAGTAGGGGGAAGGAAAGAAGGAGAAGAACTGGAAATGAAGGAAAAGAATGGGAGGGAGGGAAGAAGAAGGAAGGAAGGAAGGAAGGAAGGAAGGAAGGAAGGAAGGAAGGAAGGAAGGAAGGAAGGAAAAAATTGGAGAGAGGGAGGAAGAAGGATTAAGGAAGGAAGGAAGGAAGGAAGGAAGGAAGGAAGGAAGGAAGGAAGGAAAGAAAAAGAATTAGGGAGGGAAAGGGAGGGAGGAAAGGAAGAAGGAAAAAAAATAGGGAGGGAAGAAGGGTATTTGGAGAGAAGCAGGGGGAAGGAAAGAAGGAGAAGAACTGGAAATGAAGAAAAAGAATGGGAGGAAGGGAGGGAGGGAGGGAAGAAGAAGGAAGGAAGGAAGGAAGGAAAAAATTGGAGAGAGGGAGGAAGGAAAGAAGGAAAAAAATAGGGAGGGAAGAAGGAAAGGAAAATTGGAGAGAGGGAAAGAGGGAGAAAGGAAAGAAAGAAAAAGAATTGGGAAAGAGGGAGGGAGAGACAGAGGGTGCCCCATTTTTAAAATATTAAAAACAGCCCCCAAACTTGTGCTATTTCGACAGTGTCCCAGGGAGGATACAATCCCTTAAGAAAGAATGATTTTATCTTTAGTGACTCTTAACTCGTCAGCCTTTTAATCACTAAGTTCTTTTAGTGCCAATTTTAGGGTCCCGTTTCATTTGTGCTTTTAGCGTTCATGTTCTATTTCTCTTTTACTTTTCCATGTATTTTCCGCCTTCGGTACTTGCCAAAGGAGCAGAGCAGAGCGTAATTCAAGTAACTGACATCCAGAGGCTCAGGATTTTGACATCCTGATATAAACAACCTCAAAAGGTCTGCAAGAATCTCGTGGGAATGGCCACGCTCCCGAGATCTCTGCCACCTTTATGAAAATCTGTATACACACAGATCAAGGGCGGTGGGCCTCCCGTTGCTGACCCACTCCCACTCATCTTTCATTCAAAGATTTAATTATTGTCACCAGTGTTCTGTTTTATTTCCAGCTGAAATTCAAGCAGGGCCTTTCCCAGCTCTCCCTGGAGATGCCAGGGATTAGTATTGATCATTTAATCGATTTTACATGATTCCCCATGTTGTTGGCTTGCTAATTGGGCCCTCAGCCATCGAGCAGAAGTCATCTGTGACTGCTAAGTAGCAAAGCACCTTTCTCTGAAATATTACCGGAGCTTCATCTAGGTATATAGGAACTGTTGTGATTTGGGGGGGGGCAATGGTTCTCCCCATCACTAATGGTCTATAATTTGCTTTTATTACCATCTTTATTACTTTTTCAGCCCACAAGAAATCTCATCTTAGTCTTTGTTATATGGGGTGACTGTGTTTTATCATTGCCTTTTTGAAATATTTTATGTTCAATGATCTGCCTTGACACATATATTATTGGGCAGCCTAGATAAAGATAACCATCCCCCCCCCAAAAAAAAAACAGAAAGAAAAATGGATTTATCCAAGAATGGAGGTTAAAATCCCAAGGATTCAGAAAAGGTGGGTGGCTCAAGGAAGGGGCAAGGTCCCCCCCCCCGTGGAATAAGGCCATTCTTTCAGTGCATCCACCTCCTACTAAAGGCTGGCTAAGATCCTTAACAGGCTCAGGCAGGTAAACCGAGTCACGGTAAACTGTGATTGCAGCCCCCTCCTTCCATCAGCGTTGGTGACATCTGTTGGCAGGGGAGAAATTTATCTCAAGCCAAGATTGACAAAGGAAGGGAGAGCAAGCACCACACACACACACACACACACACAGAGAGAGAGAGAGAGAGAGAGAGAGAGAGAGAGAGAGAGAGAGAGAGAGAGACAGCCTGCACTGGTGACAAAACACCGCCAAGCTAATTAATGCAATTAGTAGCAAATGATCAACGCAACACAAGAAGCAATACAACTGTAATTAGCTCGGAACTGGGCAAAAATTCAGCATTTTTTGCCATCTGCGGAAAAAGCCCCCCTGCTTGCAGAAGGCAGGTTGCTGGTTATACCAGGATCGTGGACAGCAGCCAGAGGGAGGGGGGAAGTCTAGGAACAAAGCAAGGGATAAAAGGGGGAAGGAACTATTCTATCCCTTCCATTCCTGCCTTGGGGACAGCTGCAGTTGGGGCAGGTTATGGAGGGGGGGGGGCTGGATCCAAATTCTGAGTCAGCTCCTCCTCCTCAATCAGGAAGCAGATTTCATTCAAGACCCAGCAGGTATTGAGGAGGGGGCTTGAGACAAGAACAGAGCCCCCCTGCCTTGCGTGAAAGTCAGTCTTGAGATTCAATCCTGGCCAGTTCTGCCTAAAAAGGAATGGTTAATGAACTCAAAGATCTCTCTTTTTTTCTCATTCTGGCACAGAACCCTAGAAAGAGAAGCCGGATTCCCACAACACATGCAGAGCAATCGGCTTCAAGGCTCACAACGTGAGTTTTATCTCTTCTTCGTTATTTGCTAGCCTGACATCATCTGTACGCCCAGCCTGTTTGCTTCCTTTTTCAGGATCCGGCGTGTGGTGCAAATCCCGGGAAAAGAGGTGAATTCAGCAACCGCGTGACACACCGGTTGCCCGAACGCGAGCACCCAAACCGAATGCCGGCAAATTCTGGCAACCCAAATTGTTCAGATGTGTACCCCTGTGCAGAGTCCATGTTGTGGGTGTGCCAGGGGGGGGAAGGCAGGACCGTTGGCTTTGCATCGTGCCTCTGCCTCCCGGTGCATTTCCAACGTAATTCCAGCTCCCCCCCCCCCACTCAGCAAAAAAGGTTTTCCCATCACCAACCGGTTGCAGTGCTGAGCAAAGCTTTTGGAGCCATGCCCTGGGCGAAGCTACTCTCCAGAAAAAAAAACGAGAGGGCTTTTTACACACGGATACCACACCGGGCGCACTCTTTCTCTGGCAGCCAAGTCGCCAGCCGACCTTGGTCTGACCTTGCAGGGAGCACCCAGCTCGACTAGGCCTGGAGCCCCTGCGACAAGAA